ACACACGTATAACTTTTATATTTCAGATTCTCGCACCGCTGGCCATGTGTGGCTGGTGTGTGCGAGGCTGCGCTCGAGCCGAAAACGTCGGCAGGACGGACGTTTTAATTCGATACTTGTCGGTGGTTTGTCCGGCTCTGCGTGCCGGCGCGGTGGGGGCGGGGCCCTGATGCCCTGCTCCCTCCTGCGCGCAATCGCACACGCACACATTTTTCATACTCTGCTTTGACAGGGAGCTGCCGGCGCCTTGCGTCCTTTGGCGCAGGTGCATGTGAAATTCAAGAGTGTGTCTTGTGTGGTCGCGGCGTCGACTCGTTTGTCGCTCGCGGCTCGCGGCCCGGGTGGGGGAGGGTGGCTCCGCTCAGCTCCGCTCAGCTTCGCTCTGCTACGTGGAACATGTGGCGACAACTGATAGCCATAACTCTATCGCATCTCCTCGTTGTTTTGACAATGTTGCGGTAGACGCGGGAGGCGCGGTGTGGCCCTGTTGTCGTGGCTCCCACAGGGGCTCCCATAGGTCCCCTATAGGTCCCCCATAGGTCCCCCATAGGTCCTCCGCGGGGCCGCGGCCAGCTTGGGGTTATCAGATCGCAGCGCGGACCTAGGAGTAGCGGGCCTGGCGCCAGTTGTGGCGCGGGTCAGGCCGGGGCTCCGGTCAGGTCCCTCTGCATACCAGCTACACGGCTACATACACTCGCAAAATGAGACGTTCCATGACACCTGCACCTCTACCGTTAGATTAAATATGCGACTCAATTTGCGAGTCCGTGCAAATTGCTGTAAAATTAAGTAGATTGTGAGATCGGGAGGAAAATTTGAAAATTTAATACGCATTAATAAACCACATGTAAAAAATATTTTTCAGGAATTAAGAAATATTTGTGATGCATGCACATTTTTGAGCTTTGTTGTAAATATATTTGTTTGTTTCTTCTTGTTTCAGGTTCGACGGTGAAACGGAAGAGAGAGGTGAGTGTCTTTTCCTCAATCAACTCGCACTCATTCACTTTGTGGGCGACACGCAAAAAGCACCCCTTCAATGCAGCCCGTCCCTCACAACGACGTCGTCCGGAAGGCGGCATGAGAATGAGGAGGGGAAGCGCGAGCAGCGCGCTGCGTGCCGGTCAATAAGCATTGTCTTTGCACGCTGCGTTGTTGCCGCGGCGAGACACCGCGGGTGCATCCGTTTCATGTGCATATCGATTATGTATCGGCCACCTATCGAAAGAGCGAGAGGATCGATTAAAGCTGGAACACCCCGGGGTGTGTGTGTG